TTTAATGACTAATTTTATAAGTAATTAGATTGAAAATTAGATATTCGTGTGTTGTCAGTGTAGTTATTAGACGATAGGACAGATACACCAGTCTACTAAGCAAGAAACCTGAGACGGTATGGGCATGAAACACGAATCAGCGGCCTATCCAGAACAATAATGCAGGGAGTGAGAAGAAGAGAGAGGCAAAGACGTCATTGGATGGATGACATCAGAGGTTGGACTGGGCTGCCGTGGCAGAACTGCTCACAGCAGCAGATAACCGATACAGAAAGACAACAACATTTATTTTATTTTTTCGTCTCAGACATGTAATTTACAGCGTCAGTTTGCCTTACATGTTTGCTTTAGTATTAGTTTTCATCATCGGCTTGTGAGGTCTGATACCGATTTACAATAGTAATATTTCTTTCTTACTTGTAGCCTACTTTCATTCATTTTAGATGGTTTTCTTATACACAGATCTAATACAAATCGTCTGATTACAATTTTTTAAACTGAAAATGCAAATGTGTAATTAAATGATGATTCAAAGGATTTTTTTTTTTAATCGGCTTGATGGGCTGAGGGGGTTTCAGCTTTTACATAAGGTGTTGAAATAAATTTGGGTTTAAAGAGAAATAAAATTATAAAAATTTTATCAATGTTATGTTGAGTACAATGAGACAACATAAATCAACCATTCTTCCCTTTCAAAAATTTATATCGATAGCAGTCCTCCCAGTTTTTTTTTTTTTATTTAAAAAAATACTCTGACATCAAGTTAAAAGAAATATTTCAAGCAAAGCTAAGACATAGACTAGGATTTCTCACCTCACAAAAAACAAGTTAATAAAAAGTCTAGTGACAATTTAAGCGCGATTTCCTTATGTTATCCATAACAATTTTAAATCGAGATAAATCATATATTCAGCAACGGGCCCAAATATTAAAACGTTTATATCAGTATTTGACTATGATTAAAACCCGCCCTCTTGTTTGTAAACATTAGCACGTGGAAAAAAACGAGCGACGCGTAGCTCGCCTCTCTCTCTCTCTCTCTCTCTCTCTCTCTCTCTCTCTCTCTCTTGCCGCGCGCAGTGACGCGAACGATCCCACGTCGCGACAGGCTAGCCTCCCGTATCAGTCGAAAAATTAAATTTAAAAAATCCTTTCGAACCTCCGCTCATTCGCTATGGTAAAATCCTTTCGAACATCAGCGTTTGCGCTAAAAACCTACACGATGCTCAGTTTAAATGTTCTTAATTAATTTTTTGTGACCGAACGAAAGGATATTTTTGAAAACTTTCTTCGGCAATATTAGTCTAAATTATGGCAGGAATCGATTGGTAAATGTTTCAAGTCGCTAAGTGGTCTGGTTGCCGAGATATGGAGCAAAAACTGCATTTGTTCGAGGTTTTTTGGCTTTTCCGGGAAATCCAGGTAGGAATTCCGGGAATTTTTTTGCCCCACAATCGTCCTTGGAACTTGCTTAATATATTTGCTTTTGCAACTAGTCCTCGATATTGCTTCGTTGAGGAGGAGATACGACTTAAAGGCTGCGGACACACATCCACACATCCACACATCCATACATCCATCCAGAAATGACGCATTATTAAACGCAATTTGCCAGTATGAAAATTGCGCTAAAAAACTTATAGGAAAAAAGCAATAAAGTATTAATATTAATTAAGACAGTCTCAAACCAAACATCACTCGATCAGCCCTCGAGTAAATTAACGTTAGAACAGTCCTTAGGTTTCTCAGGTTTTAAAAAGAACAACATATCCCCCCCCCCCCCCCCCCCGCCTCAGACATGTAATTTACAGCGTCAGTTTGCCTTGCATGTTCGCTTTAGTATTACAGTTTTCATCATCGGCTTGTGAGGACTGATACAGATTTACAAAAGTAATATTTCTTTCTTACTTGTAGACTACTTTCATTCATTTAATAAGGTTTACTTATACATACATCTAATACAAAACGTCTAAATATATAAAAAAAAATATTTTTCAAAAAACCCTGAAAATGCAAATGTGTAATTAAATGATGATTCAAAGGATTTTTTTCCATGGGCGTGGTGGGCTGAGGGGGGGGTGGGTTTTTAAGTAGAGCTGAAATAAATTTGGGATTACAGAGAATAAAAATGATGCACATTTTGAGCTACCGAAAAAAGTTATGTTATTACAAAGAGACACCATCAAATCAAACTTTCTTCCCACTCAAACATCTATATCTACAGCAGTCCTAAGGATTTAATACAACAATATTTATTTTAAATACTTTTATTTTCCATAAAACAAAATACAACATATTTACAGTAACATGGTATGGTTTACATTTCGTTGAATAAATAAGTAAATATATGAATCATATACTGGAGGGAAAACAAACCCTTTGTAAAGTACATCTTTATAAAAGTACTAGCCGTCCCGGCCAGGCCCTGCTCTGGCTTCTGTGAAAAACCTTTCTGTTAAAGACCATTACCTGTGTGTTTAGCAATCATCATAAACCCGGCATTGCCCACCCAAACCACTACCAACCAAAACCAAAACAACAAAACGCAAACATAACGCTAACACAATTACAAATACAAACGAAAACAAAAACAAAAACCTAACAACAAACCCAACCACAACCACAAACACCAATACAAACACAAAGAAAAAACAAACAAAAAAGCAAACGAAAACAAAAACCTAACAACAAACCCAACCACAACCACAAACACCAATACCAACCAATAACAACACAAAAAAAACGAAAAAGCAAACGAAAACAAACCAAACCCAAACGCAAAACCAACCAAAAACAAAAATATAAACCCAAAGAAAAAAACACAAACAAAAACGAAAAAAGAAAGAACAAAAACGAACCAAATCAAACCGCAACCACTAACGCAAACCCAACCTAAACACAAAGAAAACACTAACGCGAACATAAACGCCCGGGACGGAATCACCTGTTTTAGCTTAATGAACGACTATAGTACCCCAACTTATTCATAGCCTTTTGCACTCACTTAAACGAACGCGCCTGTTTCAATTTGATGAACAATTATAATACTCCAAGCTTATCCGTAAAATACCTACAACATTTGCACTTGATCAATCCCCGCTAATTATGTAATTATTTTTTTCCCAACACCAAAACAAAGTAATAAAAAGAAAATTCTTTTCCACTAATGCAATGGTTTTATAAAGGGAAGTAATTGTATTTTCCTAATTTATCAAAGGGAAGTAAATGCTATAGGACTAAATAAAGACATAATTAGAATTTTTGTAAAAGATGATATTTTTTTTAAACTTGTATTTAATGAACATGCCGAAAATTATTACTTTCAGGGGGGCGGTAAAAAAATTTCGCCCCCCCCCCCCCCCGAAGAGATGCCTGGAAGAAACTCTGTTTAGGAGAGACAACTCCAAAATCAAGCATCTGCTGCCTTGTAGTTTGTTCTTGGTTGGACACAGGCTATGGAAGCAAATCCAAAAGGAAAAGCAGGCTGAAATCGGAGTCAATGGCCTCAATGGCGCATATCCAGTTGACACATATACTTAATTGTGAAGGAGGCGTGGTCGAGTAGGCTAAAGCTCAGGGTTGATAAATTCGAAAAAAAAGTCTCGAGTTCGAACCCTCTGGCAGATAAGGCTCGATCCCTTTCAACACTAAAAATTAAGAACGAAGAAGAATAATAATTTAAAATTAGAAATTTTAAAGATTTAAATTAAGGTTATTTTTATTTTAGTTTGTTGCAAAATAAAATTAAAAGAATATGTAAAATAAAATTAGTTTTTTTTCGATATCCATCGTTTTTGAGTCGACAAACATATGAATTTAAAAAATGCTCGATACCCTCCCCTTACTTAACTACTCTATTCATTTCCCTATGAACAATCTCTCTAGAACTCCGTATCTTTTATGGTGTGTTCGGAATGACGCGTCTCAAATGACGTTTTAGATTTGAATAGTTCATTACCTCGTGACTGAGAACAACTTTGTACAGTATTGAGTAATCATTGCTTCTCTATTCCATTTCCAGTGATGTTAGTAAAGCCGAATTTCAGATATTCTTCTAAATATTTATTTTTTCGTTTCTCATTACTAAGGTTTAGTATACCAGTTGGCGACCCCCCAGAAAGCCCTTCGCGACCCCCAGGGGGGTCGCGACCCCCAGGTTGGGAACCCGTGCTCTAGGATATGTAATCAGCGCATCATATAGTATCGATACTTTCATATGTGCAGCAAAGTATAACATCTCGATACTTTAATGTGCAGTATCATATATCGTTCCGATACTTTCATACGAGCAGCATCATATATGGTATCAATACTTTCATATGTTCAGTAGCATATATCGAATCGATAATTTCATTTAGGTAGCATCGTATATTCTGTCGATACTTTCATATGTGTAGCATGATATGTCGAATCGATACTTTCATACAAGCAGCATTATATGTCGAATCGATACTTTCATTATGCCCAAAATAAGTCGATACTTAACAGAACAGCTACCATTTTCAAAGTTTCGTTTTTCTATAAGTAGAATATAGAATTAGTTGACTCTGTGAGAGAGAGAGAGAGAGAGTGTGAATTAGTTTTATTCGTGAGAGAGTGTGTGGGAATTAGTTGTATTTGTGAGAGAGAGAGTGTGTATGAATTAGTTGTATTTGTGTGAGTGAAGAAATGTGAATTAATTGTACTTGTGTGAGAGAGAGTGTGTGTGAATTATTTGGATTTGTGTGAGTGAGAAGGAGTATGTGAAATAGTTGTATGTGCCAGTGAGAGAGTGTATATGTTCGTGTTTTCCAGTGTTAAAAATAACACCTATACGTCTGCTTATGTTTTACCTACAGACCGTGTGTATGTGGTTATATATGTGTGTGCCAATGTCACATGTGTGTTTTTTGATTTGGAAATAAGGCTCTGCCCTGCCCTGCCCTGCCACTTTTGAAGACAATGCCCACACACAACCAGACACGTGACACAATAAAAACAATGACACGATGCCTTTACTTGCTTCAGACTATAATTCTTTTTTAAACAAAAACAAAATTTGAATGAAAAATATTGAATCTAAACGGAAATTCTAGCTTTACTTTCGTTTTTATTCTGCAGATGGTGATTCTCCAAAATTAACCAAACTTTTTTTGTGTGTTTGAATTAAATAATCAGCATCAATAATTTCATTCCGTTCTAGTTTCAGGTAAAAACAATCATTTTCCATTTTTTTTATTTAAGAAAGGATTAAAATTCAAATTGCGTCACAATTTGTGTATAAGTAGAAGACAAGAACAGCTCCTATTTACAAGCTGCAGTCTTCAAGGTGTTGATCTCATCGTCAGTGCAATGTTGGGTAGGCAAGCACACGGAGATGACGCCCATGGCATCGCAGTACTTCTCACCATCAATCAAAGCTGTCGCCTGCTCGTTGCCATCGATGCAGTAATTAATGGCACTAAAGCAGGGCATTTTGGTGTTGAGAACAGCCTCAGAGAACGGCTTGGGCTGGGTTACGGAGCACGCTTTGGTTTTTATGGTGTCATAGCTGTCTTTGCAATCGCTGCCCAAACAATCCTCGCCCACTTTAAACATGTTGCAGTATCTCTCCTCCTGACTGAGAATTGTGGCGATGGCGGACCCAAAGATACAGGTGACGATTGTATCTTGGCAATGTTTATTTGCAGATTTTATAGCGCTGAATGCATTTTTCTTCAGGTCGCTTGACTTTTGCTGGGGTTTGTCTTTCTTACCACACGCTCCATTTTTGAGGTCCGCAAACTCCTCTTCTGTACAAAGTCCGATCTTTGCAACACACTGGTAGGCGGTGAAGTTATCTTTAGATGCCCCTAATAGGGAGCACCATTCAGCGTCATTGGAGGGTTCCTTCTTTTGTAACTTATCCACGCATGTTTCTAACGTATAATTGCAGGCTATGGATACTTTCTTCCTCTCAGAAGTGAAGTCTGCAGATACGTGGGATATGCTTGACAAGAGCACACAGACCGTGATAATAATCGTGTACATGTTGATCTTCTAGAGAAAACGATAACGTGAACGTTTAGTTTTTAAAACCTTATTTAACCTGCAACGATAAACTACTAACATATTGAATGAATACATATGTTGGGAGACAACAGGTGCGCCAAGAGAACGGAGATCCGCCCAAGTCGCTTACCCTATGGTAGCATATTGAATGAGAAAACAATGTGCTACCCATGTATTGTGAACACACTAACTCTGTCGTTTGGTCCCCTCTAGGACTGCATCCAATCAGAGTTTCTTCCAGGCATCTCTTCGGGGGGCAGAGCTTCCCCCCCCCCTTGAAAAAAGTCTACCGCCCCCGAACGAAATGAAATTTATATAATTTATATAGAAAATATATACTTTTAACAGTCTACCACCCCCCCCCCCCCCAAAACAATTTCAAGAGCCCCCCCCCCCCGGAGAAAAAAGTCTGGAAGAAACACTGCATCCAATTATGAAACTGTATCGCTTCACTCCTGGCCACCAGTTGTTTGAGTGACAAGTTATCTCCCTATTTGGGTAGAAGGACCCAGCTAAAGGGCCTTAACTACCAGTGGGGGGGGGGGGACTTTTCGAGTGAGCAAATATGCGCTCGACCAATCAACCATGAAGTAGCCTACACATTTCAGCTTATACTTACAAATTAATTACAAAGTAATAAAGTTACAAAATTAATTAATTTGACACCACACATAACTTAAAACTAATTGCTTTATAACACAATTAGTGACTCCAATCCCGCGTGAGTCTCCGGGGTCCCCTCAGGGGTAAGATGACCTACTTATGCAATGGCGCTGCTTTTTGATAACGTTATCTCACATCTTGCTGTACTATACAAACATGTAATTTTGGTTGAATGTAGAATTACATTGAACGTATCTTCTTGCCTCTTCATCAGTAACTAATTTGTCTAGAGATCACTGCTTGATTAAGTAGGTCAAAATTGAGGTACAAGATTTGCTAAAATCCAGACAGGTAGACATGCAGAGAGGCGGACAGGTAGACAGGTAGGCAGGCAGACAGGCAGGCAGACAGACAGACAGACAGACAGACAGACAGACAGACAGACAGACAGACAGACAGACAGACAGACAGACAGACAGACAGACAGACAGACAGACAGACAGACAGACAGACAGACAGACAGACAGACAGACAGACAGACAGACAGACAGACAGACAGACAGACAGACAGACAGACAGACAGACAGACAGACAGACAGACAGACAGACAGACAGACAGACAGACAGACAGACAGACAGACAGACAGACAGACAGACAGACAGACAGACAGACAGACAGACAGACAGACAGACAGACAGACAGACAGACAGACAGACAGACAGACAGACAGACAGACAGACAGACAGACAGACAGACAGACAGACAGACAGACAGACAGACAGACAGACAGACAGACAGACAGACAGACAGACAGACAGACAGACAGACAGACAGACAGACAGACAGACAGACAGACAGACAGACAG